TTGGTCACCATCCTATTAGGATCACCACTTATGGCTAAATTGTGGTGGCTGAGTAGTGCTCAGCGCCTTGGCGACCCAGGTGGCTTCCTTTTAGAAAACTGATTATCTTTAACTTTTAGCTATGCTGAAATCATAATCATTAGAGGCCCATTCCACATTGCTTTGAAGTTCTTCAGTGCTATCTTATTTTACTCCATGTTCGTATCATAGGCAATATTGGGGATTCCTGCCATCACGTCAAAGAGAATCTTGGTCAAGTTACAATGTTACATATCTTACTGTTTTTTTGCCTCTTCTGCTATTTTTCTGTTGTTGCCTATTCACAAATATTTCAGTTATGTTAGCTTTAAGTTGTGGAAACTGGAAACCTCTCAACTTGATTAGCAATTTAACTTGTTTAGCAAACAGGATTTATTTCAGGAGTGGTAAATCATGGTATAATTCTTAATGCTTTATTATTAACATTGGCAACAATATGGATTCTATCTGTGTGAATCTTTCAAGAGAGTACTTCTGAGGTAGTTCCACATGATATTGTTATCTACCATTCTACCTTCATTATTGTACTACCTGTCAGGCTGTCACCATTAGCATTTTTCTTCTTTTTTCTGTTTTGTTTTGAAGACATTTTCTCTTTGAACAGATTTATGTCTTTGTACAACATGGCACATTCTTTTCTCATCCTTGAGTTTGGTTTCTTAATGTACCGTATTTATTTTCCTTGTCCAGCTTGCAAAGAAGGGAGAAAAATTCATTGATCTCCCTTATGTTGTGAAGGGTATGGATGTGTCATTTAGTGGCATATTGAGTTTTATTGAAGCTATGACGATTGAAAAGCTTAAAAATAATGAGTGCACACCTGCAGACCTATGCTACTCATTGCAGGTACTCTCATGCTCTTGACTTTCTCCCCCTTATGGATAATAATTGGTTATGCTTTGTTGACAGCGACACTGATGAAAGTCATAATTTGCGCAGGAAACTGTCTTCGCCATGCTTGTTGAAATTACTGAACGTGCAATGGCGCACTGTGATTCAAAGGACGTTCTTATTGTTGGTGGTGTCGGTTGCAACGAACGTTTACAGGAGATGATGAGGATTATGTGCTCAGAAAGAGGGGGTAGGCTGTTTGCAACTGATGACCGCTATTGTATAGACAATGGGGCAATGATTGCATACACTGGTTTACTGGCGTATGCACATGGTGTGACCACTCCCCTGGTGGAGTCGACATTTACGCAAAGATTCCGAACTGATGAAGTTCATGCGATTTGGAGAGAGAAGGAGATGCCGGTGCTAAATAACATCCATTCAGATGCAATGGCTGAAGTATCTAAAGATGAAGCCTCCATGCCGACACCAATCGTTGTAGATTCCTGAGGTACAATTGGCCTATACAATTATGTCTTGCTGCTAATGTTTTTTCATGATAGCTAATGCAATTTGGATTGCTGGAGACAATCCCTACCAATTACTCCTCCATTTCAAATTATAGGACGTTTTGGCTTTTCTAGATACATAGTTTTTGTTATGCACACATAGTTAAAGCAACGTATCTAGAAAAGCCAAAACACCTTATAATTTGGAATGGAAGGAGTACTTGACAATTCATGTGGACTTGTGGTTGATATGGTGGTGGGTGTGATCCCACTTCCCATGCGTTTGATTTTTCTACATGATGAATATGCTCTACAAATGAAGCTTTCTCACCAAGTGCACAAACCATGCTGTTAATTGCAAAATTATGCAACTTTTTTGGACAATATGAAACAGAAGGAACCATTACATATTTTTTATTTTTTACGCTTCACTGCTTATCCTCATGTGTTTTATTTCTGAACAGTCACAACCAAAGTTCAGCTAGGCGCTAGGCGGAATCTAGGCGCTGACACATTGCCTAGCGCCTAGTCGGGAGTACTCGGTCCTAGGCGTTTGCCTAGGCGTTTTGGCAGCGGAGCTCTCCTCTGCTCCAAGAGAAAGCAGAGCAGAGCAGCTGCTCCAAGAGAAAGCAGAGCAGAGCAGAGGGCCGCGCCTGGTTCCCCGAGCGAAGCAGAGCAGGGGGCGGCGAGCAGAGCAGAGGGCCGTGCCTGGTTCCCCGAGCGAAGCTGAGCAGGGGCGGCGAGCAGAGCAGAGGGCCGCGAGCAGGGGCGGCGAGGCAGAGCAGAGGGCCGCGCCTGGTTCCCCGAGTGAAGCAGAGCAGGGGCGGCTTCAACCAGAGGGCCGCGCCCGGCGTGGGGAGGGGCAGCAGGCGGCAGCCAGGGGAGGTGCGGCGTCCACCGGAGGCCGCGGCCAGCCGGAGCGGGCACACGCGCACGCGCGGCCGCCCACGGCTGAGGCTAGCGCACTTGGGTCCCAACCCGACGAGCTAATGGTGGGTGTTTCTTTTCTGTCACAGGCAGTAAATGCTTGTACGGGAAGGTCTAGAATCACTCCTGCATGTGATACCTTTGCTTGCTGATTGGGACTCCAGGCACATGGCAGGTGGCTCCGAATTGTTGTGCTGCTGTATGAACTGCAGCAGGTAAAATGAATGTGTTGTATGGCTGACATTCCTGACGATAGTTGACATGGATCAAACTTCACCAATCACCCAAACATCCTGGCTAGTTTTCTTCATAGAGTGAACTTCTGATTGTTGTTAACCTTATAGACGCATTTCCACAAAGCTAGGTTAACTCTTAAGTTACTGTTGTGTTGGATGGACATTCGATTCATGGTAACGTGGGTCCATAAAAAAAACCCCACAAACGTGTGTATAGATTGCGTTACACAGAAGCTAATGTAACGTGGATAATGATTTGGTTGAGTTGGGCAGTGGCCTTTTTTACCTTCCATGACGCTATGCAGATCATGGATACTGGATGCGTCTCTTGATTGCAAATCTGGCAAGGATAGTGGGTCATGCTCATAGAAGATGTGTTGGCATTTGGCAAGTTGTCTACGGACCGGGTGTCATTTATGTTGGGCACACATGCGACTGGTAGCGGGCCGTAAATTTTGTGACAGTCTGACAGAAGATGCAAATCTGATTTGACAAGGAAAGTAGTTGTTGCATAGTGTGTGTTGGGCTGTTGTGTACGGCCCACGTGTTATTTATGTTGGACACGCATGCGACTGGAAGCGGGCTGTAATTTTTGTGACAGTCTAACGGAAGATTTGAAGTATTCTACCTTTAGTACTCATGTTATTTGAGTTTTATCTTTAATTATTTTTCTCACTAAAATATAGTTGTAATAATGCATAATAAGTATCAGGTACAAAAATACTTATCAAGATAACTCTATACATATGGATGATGGTGAGAAGTTCATAAAGTTTGGTTGGATTATTTCAAGCATTAAGCATTTATGACCGGTGTGTGTATTTGTATGTTCCCTTTTGCGGAGAAATAAATTTCCGTGGCATAACTTTAGGGATGAAAACGAATCAGACATGAATAAATAGTAGCAAATATGCTCGTGTGTTGCAACGAATGTATACATTATCGTATGACCTCCTGAAACATGAGTTATGGCTTAAAAATTTAAATAATGATCACGTCATAGGTTCCAATATATATTGGGGAATCGGACTCTATCATTGCTTGTCACATCTTGGAATCGGACTTCATATAATCGCTAGGTTGGTCGAATGGACGACACTTGTGCTAGTCTAGCAGATACGGGAACGAATCCCTCGCAACCGACGGTTCATAACAGGCGGTGATGGACACCGACTATCACCGCCGACTATTACCAACGGGGGCCAAAACCGTTGGTGATGGGGTCTGGAACCGGCAGTGAACTTTCTGTAGTAGTGGATGTCCAATTTAATAGTCAATGGAAGACTATCATGTTGGGTACTCATTTAAAAGGGTATTGATCCTAACACCTTTCCTAGAAGGATGTACCAAATAAGAAATGATTAGGATAGAAATAATATTATAAATATTTTTTGCATTCCCTATTGTGTGGTCGGCCTCCGCCACCGCTCACCATAGGCCCTTCAGACCACCCTCCGATCCAATCCACTAACCAAGGAGGCCGTTCGCTACTACTATCCACCACACCCGATCTTGCAGGGCTCTAGCGGCAAACCATCGCTAGCCTCTTCCGACACCAACACAAACTACTTCATATCTCACCCCCCTCACGCCGCCTCTTCATCTATCGGCGAACCGGCCTCCCTGAACTTTATATGCAGTCCCTAACCACGAGAACCCTAGCCCTGACATGCTTAGATCTGGAAGAGGACAACCTACCTCATAAGGTGCCGATGGTTTAGATCTGGAATGCACGGATCGGAGGTGGGGGTTGTTCAGGGGGTGTGTGTGGAGCGGGGGAGCGAGAAAACCGTGTTGCAAGCTATAATTGATAGGGAGCAAATATAAGGTTGAGCCAGCACCGCGGGATTTGTTTTGTTCCTATTTGATAGCCAGAGAGGTGTGCAGGTGTGACAACTATCACATGCATATTCCGTTGGCCTCATCAAAAAGATCACAATATAAACACATTAATTGTATGTTTAATTTGGCAATCAAGTTCATATCTTAAACAACATACTATAATTCACATATATATAATATATATAGGTTCAGGATAATATTGTACCAAAGAGCAATCTGCTTTTCTTACAATATAACCATCAACACAACCAAGCAGATGTCAAATATCCAGGTATGCATACTATCATGCCCTAGATTACTAAGACCAAACGATACACATATACCACACATGCAACAATGATATGGTGCATATACTAGTACATGCATACACACATAGCTTATCGACTAGTTATTATGAAAATATATAAACCATGCGTTATTTCACAAAATGCAATGCAGATATAGATATAATATGCATATTTATGCGAATTCATGTCTTCGCGCTCCACCCTCCATGTTTACTTCTTCAGTACTTGTACTTCCATATGCCATCCATCTCTATGGTGGTGGTCGCGGACCCTGGGCCGGTCACGGACATCATCGATGAGATCTCAGCGGCATTAGCTTGCTCATCCTTCTACAACACCATCGAGGACGACCTACTCTTCGGTGCAGCAACATCGAAGCCGCCAGCGCCAGCTGCTCCTATGTCCATCTGGCCAATAGCTCCAATGCCCATCTGGACTACTGGTGCCCCCATGCCCATCTGGCCTGCTGATTCCCCCATGCCCATCTGGTGGTAGAAGTTCATCGGCGGTGGCACAACCATCGGATTGCCGAACAGGGCACCATTGATCTGAAGCCCATCAGCGCCACCGATACCTACCATAAGCCGCATCACTAGTGGCATCCCCACGCCAGCGTTGGGGTTGGGGTAGTAGGTGGGCACTGGGTCCATGGCAAAGTCTGGCAGGATGGGAAATTGCATTGGCATGGACACTGGTTACGGTAGCTACAGCGGCATGGGGATGGGCATGGCCGGGATGTTGTTCTGATTTTGATCAATCTCAGCACCGGGCATGGCCACTTGGTATGCCAGTACAGTCATCTTCCTGATCCTAGTGGTCTTGTGGAACACACGACAGACCACCCACTCATCCTACGCGAATTTCATTTGTAAACCAGAAACGAAATCAGATTTGGTTAAGCAAATAAAGCAAGTAGCATATTGACATGCATCATGCCAGTGTTGTTACCACGTACTACCACGCACCTTGGAAGCAGAAGCTGAAGCTTCCATAGCCATGGTGGCGTTAGTGGCTGAGCTGGATGCTGATGTGGGGCCAGGGAGCCTGCCGCTGCCTTCGAGCCTATACTCGTGCATCACCCAGTTCGTTTTGTTGCCCCTGGGAGCCCTGCCTTCGTAGAAGACAAGCGTCTTCTTCATGCTGATGAGCAGCACCACCCCTTCCCCTTTGGTGGGCTTGTATACCTCCTTGTCCTTGCCGGTCGCCTTCCAATAACCAGCTTCCGTGACCTTATTCTCCCTTAGCCCCGTCGGGTACTTGCGGTCCTTCTATGAGAAGAAGTACCACTCTTCCTCGGTCATTTTTGCCTCCCCTGTAGCATGCGATCGAATTAAGCGCCATATGTTAGACCACATCTCGATCACTAGCATAGCAACATGCATCCACTGCACGGATCAAACAAGACCAAGGCATATATGTATGTACAGTACAGATCGAGGCTGCTTGTTACATACTCGGGAGGTCCCATGGCTCAGTCTTATTTAGGTCGACCTCCCCGAGGGCGCAAATGAAGTCCCTGTTGCGCACCTTGTTCGTGAGGTAGTCATTGACAATCTCAAAGTCACTCCTTCAGCTGAGGCTGCTGCTGGTCCGCCAGTCTGTTCGGCTAGAGCTGGCTGGCCAGCTCACTCACACGGGCACAGTATTTTCTAGCCACAACAGTATTTTTCTATATTGTAGGGGGCTAAGACTTAAGATCGAACAGTAATCGGAGATATGTGTTGTTCAGCCCCTCTAAAATTTATTCCTGCATCCGCCGCTGTTTACCTGTGTGCAGCATGCAGCCTACCGTGACCTCCCTCTGGTTTGCCTGCCCTAGCCTGTGATTCCCGTGGACGTATGCGTCCGCACACTGATCATGCATGCAGGCCTACGTATCCCAGCCATCGCCTCGTCTGCATGAAGATGTAGAAGAGGGCTACGCGGCTGGCGACCGGCCACGTAGAGATGCGCGCGCGTCAGTAACCGAGGGTTGCTGTGGCTATATGCTGCAAGCGCTTCGTGATGCAGGCTACGGACAAGCGGGCCGACGCGGGGTCCACATTGCCTCGCATGCGGTGTGGGGGGCTGCTGTAGCCATAGGCATCTATCAGGGACAACCAGGCTAGTGACAGGTAATCGTGATCTAGTGCTGATAGCGTCGTATTCTTCACTAATCGATCAGTCTTAGGTGCATGGAGAAACGCGTGTGCGCACGCGGCGTTGTGCCGATTCGGTGTGCTATATGTGGCTGTGTATGTATGTAGGCACCCTGATGTATCTAGACGCAAGTAGTTGTTCTAACTCGTATAAACACGATGAAGAATTTGGGTCAGAGGGTCATACATGGACATCATGAGAGTTTGGAAAGTAAAAAGACAGGACAGGGTACAAGGTCATTTTGGAAAGTAAAAATGTGGAACCGAAAAGGCCCTTTATATTTTTTAACTATTATAAGTAATATTATATTATAGATATAGATAGATGGAGAAAAAACCCTTTTTTAATATTATTATAAGTAATCTTATAGATTATATAAGATATATTATATTATAGGTTTAGATAAATAAAGTGTAGAGACAGAGATTTATTTTATAGAAAAAACAAGGAAAAAAAACAGAAGAAATAAGAACCAAAACTCCAGGGCGGACGTCGGACGGTACCTCCGATGGATAGGCAAATGAAAACATGAAACATTCCGACACAAGAAAAACGCAAAAAAAGAAAAAGAAACAGGAAAAGGTATGAAAAAGAACGTTGGACGTTCAAACACAGGCAAAAAAAGAAAGCCTCAACGACGGACGGTTTTCTATACCTCTGTATATTATACCTAATAATAAAAAGGCAAAATTTTCAGTCATTTTTTTTGTTCATCTATTTTTTTCGTCAACTCTCCTTTAACTACCGGTAGTCGAGAGTTTCTTCTACCTATACTTATATAACCCTAGATAGTTAGGACAAACATATCTCAATAATCTGAATAGGAATAGGAATCCTAATTCAAATCTTATATATATATAATAGAGTAATAATAGTATAGATATAAAATAGAAAAAAATAGGATCTCAAACGGGAGAAGCCTCGGTCACCAGACCATTATTGAGTCGATTCTTCATTTTGATTTCTATATTTTTTTTCGAGAGTTCTCGCCCTGTTCTTCTGTGTACTATTTCAGCAATACTTTTCAGCGAAGCAACCGTATTTTTTTTTCTCCCAACATAAATCAGCATAAGCAGTAGGGTAAGCCAAATTTTAGCGAAATGAACAGGGGCAAGTCGGTGCTGCACCTACACGTTTCATGTATGTTTTGCTGGGCAATAATGTGGACTAAAAAAATTACACGTTCCGTTTATGTGCATGTATATACTGTATATAGGAAATACTATCCACACTATATCTATATAACTATAAAAAAAAATGCACGCAAATGGATCAAAAGGGAAGAGGAACCCACTGTTTTCCACATTGCATGATTAAAGTGGTTTCCACGCTTCAATAACTAAAACTCTTTTATTTATTTATGTTAAAAAAAAGAAACCCAGGGGTCCACCAACAACAAATTTTATTTTCAATCAAAACTACACGAATAATTTGGTGGTGAATTTTTTGACTCATAATGCTACATTTATTATTTTTATGTTTATTTATTATCAAAAAAAAATCCAAAAATACCTAAGCAGATAAACAAAACACACACGAACAGGGGAAAAATAGAAACTTGGATACTAGGTACCATTTTCTCCTCATCGTTTTCTATAAATATTAGATAGTTTTTCTCTCCCGTTGCAACATACGGGCACGTTTACTACTAATAATAAAAAGGTAAAATTTATGCCGCTTTTTTTTCTGCCACCTCCACTAGCAGGTATTGTTTTTTTGGTCTAGATTTTTTGGTCTGGTCTATTTATTGACCCAACTGTTACCGCGTTCACTTAGGAATCCATATGCCCTACGCCCGCTCGCTGCAAGTTTACTTTGAATATAAGCTGTGGAGAAGTCCGTATAGAACACAGATAATAGTAGGATGTGAGAAAGAGAAGGAAACAATAAATCAGCCAAAGATCTAAATTGAATCGAAAAAGAGTTCTAAATTTATTTTCGTCTGGACCATCCCAATCCGAAATCAAATAGGTTTTCTCTGGTCTCCCAAATCTATACAAGGACTTTTTAAATTGGCAAGCTCAAATCAACAAGAAGGTGCCCGAGACCAAATCGAGTGTGAATCAAAATCCACACAGCATAGTGATCCAAATCCAAACCAAAGTCAGACTAACTTTAGAAAGACAACAACATATAAAATCAAAACAATAGGTGTTGACGACCTCAAGAAAGCATGGCGATGGGCACAAATTAAATATGAGCGGGGAGACAAATTACAAACCCTAGGTTCTCTAATTGATGAGCACGCGGAGGCGTGGAGCTTGGCCAATTGCTTCACGGTGCGGGGAACCTCATCCGTGTCGGACCAGACAAAGTCGGCCAGATCGGAGGCAATGAGGGCCGCAGCGTCGGTGAAGGCCACAACGGCGGCAGCGAGGCACACGAGGAGGTGGTGGTAGGGACTCTAGCCGGCGCTGGAAGGAGTGAGGCTGGGTGAGAAGACCGTCTCGGGGAGGGGCAAGGAGGCCGGTGTGGATGCCGGCACCGGAGGAGCGGAGGAGGCTCGGCCGGGAAAGGGCGAGGCCGGCGCTGGTAGTGGTGGAGGGTGGCGCTGGAAGGTTCCTCCGAGGCGGTGTCAGGAGGGACGGAGGAGGCCTGTGGCGGTGATGCCGAGCCCCTACGAGCGATGCGGGGATACACGTGCGCGTGTAGACGGGATAAGGATAAGGTAGAGAACCATCCGTGTGTTGCGTCTGTTTTTGTTGGTTTTCCTTTTCGTTTTTTTTCTTTCGTCTTTCTTTTGGTATTTTCCTTTGCCGGATTTTTTTTTTTTTTTTTATATTAGTATATTTATCCTTTTCTCTGTATAACACTAAAAAACAAATGATAAATCTAATATTATGGGTATTTGAACCTTGACCCTTTCCTCATAAACAAATATTGCCAATAAGTTGTTGATAATATTTTGATTAATAAAACCTATTCTTCTTAGAAACAAGATCAATCATTCTTAAAAAAATAAACAGGATCAATCAATGATTCCACAAATCAAATCATAAAACTAAAATCATGAGCAGTTTGTTATCGAATCTAATATAAAGAAATGTATGTATAAATTGTACATGTATATTAGTGCAATCCTCGACTTGACTCTTACTCAAGACGTGTGCTAATACAAATTAAAACAAATCGTGTCTAGCAGCAATGGCGCGGAGTCTGACTCCAAGATGTATGGGTTTCCGTTGCAACGCGCGGGTACGACTCCAGATAAAAAACATATCACCAATTTTTTTGACCCGTAGCAAGGCATGGGCAACTTTGCTAGTAAATAGATAAAAAATAGATATGGACTTATACTAGGATAAATAGAAAAGAGGATAAACTTTTTGTAATTTAATATTAGAAGTAGGATAAGATACATATATTTGGATTATGATTCTATTCAGAGTCAAATTACTCAGGATCAGAGGATCTATTTAGATTAATTAAGGTTCCTGGCTATACAGGTTATCTCTAGACGCTATGTATATGCTATATATAGCAAATGTGTTCATGCTTTGCAACGGAACACAATGCATATAGCAATTATCCTAACTTGTATGAATGCGGGACATGAGTCTCTGTATCCATCAACCATCATCGCTAGACGCAAGTTCTCTTAACTCGTATGAATGTGTCATGTGTACGAGTCATATAGAATGGAAAAAATTCCTTACTGCCAAGGTAGTTAGGGGGAGGTGGGACAAAAAAAATTGGTGGAGAGAAATTTTGTCTCTTTAATATTAGGTATTGGTATATTGATAGATAGATATACGGATACAAAAATAAGTAATTTATTTTCTTTCAGATTTGGATCGATAGAGTGTCGAATACATATATGGATGGATAATTTTAGTAAACGGATAGTCGGATTTTTTTTGATAAAAGGACATTCAAAAGAGTGCCTCACAATTAATATATCACAAGCAAAACAAAAGCCAGTACAAAAGATGGACAACAAGACAATAAATGACCTCACGAGTATATGCTCTATCCTCGCCATGCCTATAGCTAGCCCACAAGACAACGGTAGGTCGCGCTGACTTGCGAAAGTGAGGATCCGGCCCTAGGTGCCTTGTCTACTTAGCTTAAGGTTTAGGATATACATGTAAACATGTTGATTCAGATATGATTATAACTTATTAGAGAACAACTCATCAATTAGGTGTGGTAGGGAGCTAGCACCCTACCCTACACACATTTTGAACTTGTTCGTTCAATGTACAAGCAATACAAACACGTACCATTGTACACTAGACGTAGGGGGAACCAGTATAAATCCTCATGCCATAAGTATCCCATAACTCATAAGTGATACCTCTCTGATTTACTTATGGAATATGTGGTGAAAACACTGATAGTTGATGTGTCAGGTAGGGCTTTTGGATGCACATTCTTGCATGCACCCTATTACCCAACAACTAAGTACTCCCTCAATTCCAAATTATAAGTCATTTTAGCTTTTTAGATTCATAGCTATTGCTATATGTATCTAGATAGAGTATATCTAGGTGCGCGATAAAGGTTATGTACCTAGAAAAGTAAAAAAGACTTAGCCTCATTTCTTACCATAAAATATGGGTACCGTCCGTGGCTATTTGTGATCTTAAGAGGTGCCTCACTTAATGGACCTTTAATCATCATATGCCTAAGTTCCCCAACAACATACAACACCTCCTTGAAATATCTACTATCTGTCTCTATAGATCTTCTCCAACTTTGGTGAATTAATCTAAAACAACGGTT